TCTCAAGATAATTCTGATATTAATTACATAGTGAACTTTAGACTGAAATAATGGCTTAAATGCCTGTTTGTCATCTAAGCTGTTCTGAGTCCCTGAAATGTTAATATTGCTAATATGAAAGCTATTTTCTAATTATTAATAAAACAGTATTTTCAGATATGACAGTATAGTTATTCAAGAGATGTGTGCTGTGGACCACAGTAAGTGAATAATACTGTTCATTTTGCTTTCCTAACTTTTATTTAAACATATCAAGCTGTTCCATTTAAACCTTCTTATGTGCATATCTTTCAGTGAGTACAGTGGAGAGACTTTACATGGACCAGCGTATGGCCCCACAAGTCATACTACAGCAGCTTCTTCAACTCCTTCCTCATCCTCAGCATTTCGCCATGTAGTGCCATCTAGACAAATAGTGGAAAGACAACCTCGTATGCTTGACTTCAGGGTTGAGTATAGAGACAGAAATGTGGATGTAGTACTTGAAGACAGCTCCACAGTTGGTAAGGATTTGTAAAAATTAAATTAAAACTGTTGTGGTAAAATTGTTAAAACAAAGACAAACAAAAACCCCTCAATCCCAGAAATCCAAATCCTAAAAAAAAGCAAAGCAAACCAAAACCCCTCAAAGAAGAAAAAAAAATCCCCCAGAAAATGCAGCCTCCACAGCTACTAACCATTTTCAAATCTCTTTGCAGCTTTAAAAAAACAAAATTTCACTAATCCATTGTAAAGGTTAGTGATCTATCAAATACTTACTTTGAAATCTAGTTTACTTATGAACTTGCTGCAGAAACAAAATGGAGATTACTGATTAAGTTGAGGCATGAAAATGTAATTTGGGGTAGGATTAGTGTAGAATCTACTAATAAGCAGATGATCTTGGCATTTCCTTTTCAAATCTGTATGGCATCTCTTTCTGTGTAGGATTAGTGACAAGACTGAGAGGAATTCTTTCCAGTGTGAAGAGCATTGTTGCATTCTTTTTTCAATTTTTATTTAACCTGTTTGTGCAAATTAAGATTTCTTTTGTAAGTTTTATTGTCTTCATCCTAAAACTGATGCATTTTGTAGCAGTATGTTAGAAATATGCTATTGTTAGTATTGCAGAGCATGTTATTTTTTACATTCCCCAAACTGTAAGTTAATTTAGTTTTGCTAAGGATGAAGAGTATTTGTTTGGTGTGGTATGGTTTGTTGGTTGGTTGGTTGTTTTGTTTTTGTTTTTTTAAGTGAAGACTCTATACAGATCAAAATAAGGAACTAAATGAAGAAATAGTTGATTAAAACAATTTCCAGTGCTGCAGCCTTATGTCTGTGACAAAATATTGAAATTAAAACTTTTCCCCTTGTCTTTTGAGCATTCGATTTGGTATTGGCTGGTGCCACCCAAGACTCTATACAGATCAAAATAAGGAACTAAATGAAGAAATAGTTGATTAAAACAATTTTCAGCACTGCAGCCTTATGTCTGTGACAAAATTTTGAAATTAAAACTTTTACCGTTGTCTTTTGAGCATTCGATTTGGTATTGGCTGGTGCCACCCAGTGGTGATTAGTTTGAATTCCTGATTAGTGTTTCATGTTTTCCACTGCACTGCACTGAGTTGCACTCATGCAAAGCAGATATAAAAGTCTGATTAAATCAGAATTTTGCAGCCGTAGTATTTTATTTTTTCTTATTAACTTCTGTCAAGTATAAATGATTAAGCTGTAGGGCAGAAGCAGTCAGTGTAGAACTTTTGTCTGTATCTTGGCATATGAAGATTGAGGGCAGCCTTGTGTTTAAAATCCTGAGAGAAGTGAGCAAGGCAAATAGTAGAATTTCCGCCGTGAACTTCAGGAAAGAAGATTTTTGGCTTTTTCAGAGATCTGCTTGGCAGAATCCCATGAGAGACTGACCTGAGGGCAAAGGGGCCCAAGAGAGCTGGTTGATCTTCAAGGACATCATCTTCAAAGCACAAGAACAGTCCCTTCCAACATGCAGAAAGAGGAGCAAGCATGGCAGAAGGCCAGCACAGAAGAACAAAGAATTTATGACTGAGCTAAATGCAAAAAGAAACTACACAGAAGGTGGAAGGGGCTACCCAGGAAGAATACAGAGATGTTGCCAGAATATGCAGGTTTGGAGTTAGACTAAAGCTCAGGTGGAGCTGAAACCACTGAGGGATTAGAAAGGCTTCTGTAAGTACATCAGCATGAAAAGAAAGGCTAAGGAAAAAGTGAGCCTACTGTTCAATGGCGATTGCGGAACTTGGTCCCTGGGAAGATTATGGAGAAAATCTTTCTGGAAGACCTTAATGAACACAGAAAAGAAAAGAAGGTGATTTGGAACAACCAGCATGGATTTGCTAAGGGCAAATTGTGCCTAATCAATGTAATTTGCCTTTTATGATTTGATGACTGGCTCTGTGGACAAGGGGAGAACGGTGGATGTCACTTTGGCTTTAGTAAGGCCTCTGACACAGGGCTGTAGTATTCTTGTAGTCATATTGTTAAGATAAGGACTGGATAAGTGGGCTGATAAGGTAGGTAGATAATTGCCAAGTCTGACTGGTGAACAGTTCCTAGTTTAGGGACCTCCCTCAGCAGTTGATCCTGGGGCCAGTGTTGCTTAATGTCTTTATTAGAAACCTGGTTGTTAAGGTGAGCGCTCTTGGCAAGTTCACAAAGAATACCGGATCAAACAAAGTGGCTGATATTCTGGAGGGCAAGGCTGCTATTTAGAGGGCCCTGGACAGCCTGGAGAAATGCGCTGACAGGAGCCTCATGAAGTTGAAAGAAAGCAAATTTGAAGCCTGCATCTGGAATAGGATAACTCCATGTTATCCCATCTGATAACTGGCTGAGGGCTGACAGGCTAGAAAGCAACTTTACAAAAAAAGGGATTTAGGCGTGCATCAGCAGTGCGCCCTTGCAGTGAAGAAGGCCAGCCATGTCCTAGGCTATGTTAGCAAGAGTGTGTAGCCAGTGGACCCAGGGAAATAATTATTCCCCTCTTTTAAGCACTTGGGAGACTGCATCTGAAGCACTGCATCCAATATTGAGGTCGCCAGTACAAGACAGACGTTGACATTCTGCAGTGAGTCCAGCAGAGGCCAGCAAGATAGTCAGGGGACTGGAGCACATGGCAGCATAGGAGGAGAGGCACAGAGAACGGGATTTGTTCAGCCTGGGGAGGAGAAGGGGAGACGTAGAGGGCTTACCTCTGTCTACATCTACCTGCTGGGAGGACACAGAGAAGATGGAACCAGACTCTTCTTGGAGGTGCACGATAATAAGATGAGAGGCAATGGACACAGTTTACAACATTGAAAATTCCCATTAGATATAAGGATTTTTTGTTGTTGTTGTGAGAGTGGTGAAATACTGGAACAAGTTGGCCAAAGAAGTTATCAAACTTCCATCCTTAGAGATGTTTAAGAGTCAGCTGGACAAATCCTTGACTGAACTGGTTTAATCAGACCCTTGAGCTGGGCTTGGGCTAGATGACCTCCTGAGGTAGCTTCCAGCCTAAATTATTTTATGATGGTAGTAACTACAGGGAGAGGAGAGCATCGAAATGTGCAAAACACTGAAAAAGCTGTCAGAGCAGTTAAATTGTTTGAACACTCCAGTTCTGTAGGTTGGATTATTGATAATGGAATTGGGTATCAAAAATACGCACCCTCTTTATTGCTCCAGATAGCATGCATCTGCAAATGTGTGTGTCTAGCGTACGCAGTGTAGAACTATTCAAATACATGTCCAAATCGTCAAATCCTCATGAGATTCTCCAATCATTCATGCTTTATGTGATTTTTTTTTTTAGCTTCATTTGTCCTTTACTGTTTGAAGTGCATGTTAAAAGGGTAACTAGATTAAAAATGGTTTTCATAGTAAATTTTTCCTTGCTCTCATTTTTTACCTGTATCTCAGTAGTGTTTGCAATAAAGCAGTAAGTGTGTATATTTTATGTATTTTCTTTGTTTTCTCTTTAGGAGATATCAAACATATTCTAGAAAACGAACTTCAGATTCCTGCATCTAAAATGCTGTTAAAAGGGTGGAAGACTGGAGATGTAGATGATAGTGTAAGTTTTCAACTGTGTTCTCAGTTAACTGAACTCAGAGTTTCAAACTGAGCATCTGTGGGTGGGGATTACAGTGCAAGAATTGTGAGTTTCAAACAGTATTATATGTCTTGAGTGGCATACAAGGAACTCTTAAACTAAAATGTTGCAAAAAAAATCAGGACAAATCACTTCAATTTTTGTTGTTTTTATATATAACACATCCCACCTACAAAAAGGATGTTATGAAGTTAACAGTAAGTATATCTTGAAACAAAATATTTGGTGGTACTGTAAATTAGTATCAATAATTAAAAGAAATAAAAATAATATGTCAAAATTGGTGAATGTTTTATATTTATGATGATTTTTCTCCCCTCAGACTGTTTTAAAAACTCTACACTTGCCAAAAAATAATAGTCTTTATGTTCTAACACCTGACCTGCCTCCTCCTTCTTCAAGTCATTCTGGGTAAGTCTTTTGGCCATAAATTCTACTTGTATGATTTAGTTTTGTATGGTTTTTTTCAAGCCACATGTATCCTTGCAGGAATCTGCAATCAGTAAATACAAAGTGTTTTCACTGCTCTAGTAAGTGAGCAGTTGGGATGAAGTTGGGATGAACTACCTTAGCACCTCATTGTTGAAAAGAAGGTTAATTTTTTTTTAAAACCTTTGTGTGGTACATGAACCACTTAGGTACATACAGAATTTTACACCTCCCAGATGTGATGACTCATTTAACAAAAATCTAGTCTGGATTTTTGGAATCTGAGAGCTGGCCTTTCATAGATTACCACATTATGTTGGTTCATTTAACAGAAAATTGTATAAATCGTTGCCAGCAGATCAGAATTTTCTTTCTGAACTGTTTGTTGCATTATTTTATCTTATCTTCTTGGACTTTTAAAATGCATGTAGATAGGCTGAATGATTATTTCCTCTAACTGAGCAGGATATCTTTTATTACTGATTTGAATACTCAAAAAGTTAATGGCGACTGTTCATATGTCAGCGAATATTGCTAAGGTTTGAAAATGAAATGTTACTTTATAGAAAATGCAATCTTTACTCTTATAAAGTAATTTGCAATTACTTTGATTACTTTGGCTTGTTTTCTTTCCTGCCCTTCCCTTTCTCAAAGACAGACCTGTATGAGGTGTTTACTAGGAAAATATTAATTTTATTCGGTAGCCACTAGAGGGTGCCCAGTCATTGAGCCTGGAAGAGCAGCGCTGCTCCGGACCCGCAAGCGAGCAGGGAGGGTTGCATTTGGAACTGGTCAAATTGCATGATCATTAGACTAGAGTGCCTTCAAGTTGTCTGAAGAGGGAGTTGGTTTTCTGCTGTTGTAGTCGATAGGAGAATATTCTACAAACGCAGTCGTATTACTGATGAAGGAAATTCTTTGACAATCAATGGAAATAAAGAACTGGTTTCCTAATGGCTAAAAGTACTTAATACATTACTAAAATGTCCTTGTGCACCTAACTGTGTAGTCTGTGGAGGAAATAAGAATGCTGATATGAGTTACAAAAATAATAATAAAGAAAAGAAGCATTAAGAGAAGGAATAATGGCACTGGAACAGAGGGAGCAGAGTGGTGGGGAGCTGTATGTGAACTGTATGTGCTCTGTATGTGCAAACAGGAGCTGTAGTTGTGTGTGAGGACAGTAAGCCATTGTACCTAAGCAGCTAGTTGAAGGACAGTGAAAATATTGTGGAAAAACACTGTAGATACTAATTGTTTGTTTGCTTTAAATCCATTTCCAATTTCAAAATTTTCTACCCAGGTATCACTGTATATTGTAATTTGAGTCTCTTCGATTCTGGAAGGAAAACTGGGGTCTGAAGAATGTGGTTTATTGCAACTGCAATAAACTATATAACAACAAACTGCTTAAAAACAGTTCTTAGGCTTTTATATTGGGTGAATAGTTTAAAAGAACTTTACTTGCTAGTAAAATCAAAGCGGTTGTTACCTTTACAGTTTATACTTGTTTCGTAGTGGAGATTAGTTCTGGATATTTTTAAGATAAAGTTGGTAACTTTGGGATAGCAAACGATGATTAATTAGTGGCTACTTAAACAAGGATAATTTGAAGGCTAGATTATTTCCCTGAAGTCATAAATTCTAGATGAAAGGGGAGGCTTGCCTCCAATTAAAGCATCAATGCAGATCAAAACACATCTAATTGAAGCAATGTACCAAACCCAGTTACACTGTTTACTGCCTACTGTTAGGTCAGTTATTATTCAGATTAGTTTGTTACCCACAATTTTTAAAAGCATCATGCTCACATCTATTATTAATGGATGTTAAGGAACTTTACCTCTTACTTTGTGAGTTCATCTGTCGTTTTCTTCAAATGTCTTCTATTTTGAACTAGAGATAAATAGTTGTGATTTGAATATGTCCAGAAAGTGATATTTGAAAAGCCTGAGATTTCAGTACTTTATACTGAATATATAAATATTTATATAAATATATTTTATATATTTATGTATATGACTTTCTTAAAAGGAGCAATCTGGTCACAGCTCTATAAACTCCAATCTGTGCCTGTTCTTGACACTGAGGGAGAACAGTGTCTGAAACATCCTTTTCCAACGTATTGGTATGTGAGCATTGAAGTTTATGGTGACAGACTGGATAGGCTTAACCCAGAACTGACTTAAAACTAGCATCTAAATGTAATGGCAAGGTGATCTTGCAGTTTAAACAAGCAAAAATCTCCTAGGGTATCTTCATTCATCAGTGGCATATCTAAAGCTTTTATAGGTAATAGAAACACAGTGAATTACTACTGCATACTAGTAAATTGATGTATAAAGATTAAATTTAAATGTCAAATATCACCTGTAGGGTTATGTGCCCTGCTTCCACAATTTCAGTTAGCAAAGCCATACTTATCCATGCATGATATCCAGAACAATAACAACCTCTTGTGTGAGCTGTAGATGTAATGAAACCTGATTTCTAGTGAATTCCTGCCTCATCCCAGTGGCTGCAGTAACTCAGCCCTCTCCCTCCATGCTTCCTGTGATCTCACCTACATCTGACACTGCCTCCAGTTCTTCCCATGTATATTGTAGCACGTATGTAATTTTTTTTCCCCTGCACAGACAGTCTGCCTGCCCTGCCTCTGTTCTCCAGCTGGTAGTCAGGTAATATCAAAGGAAAGCTGAAATCATATGCTGTGGGTAGTTCTGAGATCATTGGCCAGAGGTCAGCTGGATGGAGTATAAAATACTATGCTCGTAATGCAGCCTTCTACTGAGGTGGGTAGTAACTTGGGTCCCTTTCCTCTACCCAGCTGTTGATTTACACCCAGTCTTTGAGACCTTTATAACGCTGTCAGACCTCCTTGAAATAAGTGAATATGTTAAAAAGTTACCAGATGGGACAGGTGGGTGGAGAAGAACATGATTTCCTTTGGCAAGCAGTCTTAAAAGGAAAGGTGCCAAAGAATGTCCATCATTTAATTGTCCAAGGGGAGAGATCCCTTGCACCAGCTTTGTCAGATTAGATTCTTCACTTCCTTGGAGTGCAATTCCTTCCCTTTGTTGCCTTGGGTGCTTCTTGAAAGCTGGCAATACCCAGTTCAGGGAAAAGGTTTAGGAGAATGTAAGAGGGGAGCATCAAAAGTGTAGGCATGCGGGTCTGTCCATGGAGCTAGGTCATCCGGATCGTCTCTCCTTTCTATCTGGCATGTTCTGGGAGGTGCTTTTTATCAACTTTTTTCTTCAGTTGTCATTTTAATGGATATAATGTATTTTATATTTATACTTTTTTGCTAAATAACTTAGTCTTAGATACTTTATTATACCTGATGAATCATTGGAAAGTTCAAAACAGTTAAAAGCTATTTGACCAGGTGCATAACTTGGAGATTATTACAAATAATGTATTTTTGCTAAGCGATTGTGACTTATTTATGAAGTGTGGATATCATCTGTGTGGATAGGAAAAAAACCCACAACCCCCATTCATTACTCAAGTAACGAGTACATATATTGCTGAATGCCTGTGTTTTAGATCGTTGCAGAGCAGTGGTGATTGTGGCATAGTGTCTTGTTGTATGTTATCAACTGTAGCAGAGTGTTAATTAAGAACGATGTAACCTGCAACTCCAGTTATTAGTATTGTCTATTTAGCTGGACAGGAGCAGTGCCTTGCTTTAGTTACTTTGAAAGCTTCAATAAGAATGGTAAGATTAATGTTTTATTTTCACATCTGCTCATGAGACAGTTTAAAAATCCTGAAGTTTAAAATGCAATAGAATGTAAACAAAAGGGCTTCTGCTCATTTACATGTTAGCCAGATTTGCTAACTGATTGCTGTTTGAACCTAATCTACCACCTCCTGCTGCATTAGCTACAACAAACATTACATTTACATACCGATTTCTTATTTTGTTTTAATGTAAATAATCTGTAATTACAGTAAATTTGGACTTCTGTTGACATGAGCTTGTATAAATCTGTAAGTTTAAAATGGAAATGTTAATTATCTTGTGTCATACCTATTTATATAGAATTCAGAGATTTTGGGGAAAATCTCCATGTGACTGAGAAAGATATTGCCTAATGGGAAATACTGAATGTATTTCATAAAAACTGGCAGAACTGAAATGAAAAGGAGCATTTGCTGATCATTGATTAAGGATATACTTTCGGTTTAAAAGCTTAAAATATTACTAAAATTCCAAAGAAAAAGGCTTTTAAAAAGCAAAGTATTACGTCAAAAATCAAAGCATTAAGGCAGTCACTTAACAACAGATACAACCAATCTATTTTATATATGAAGTGTTACAGAACAATAGAAAAGCAGTAAAACTGGAAGCTTAGAATAAATATCAGTACTAATACCATCTTGCTTCAGCATTGCATAGACTGATTGAACAGTTGCTGTCCCCCAACATTAGCAGTATTTGCAGTTACACATTTTTTGGCTAAATATTGTTTCTATTCTTAATTTATTAGACTTGTGGTTTATAAATTGTACTGTCTTGGAATTTGGATGGAGTAGCTAGTGAATCTCTTTCTGGACTCTTAATTGAGTTTTGGTATTTTGAGGTTAGTGGGGAAAAAAAAAACAACTCTTGCAACTTTCATTGCTTGAAATTTAAGTTTCAAAGAGGAACATTTTTGCTTGCATATTGTAGTTTCAACCCCAGCTGAATCCTGCTTCACCGCTGAGGTTTCTGTGCATTCTGATAATGCCGATAACCAATGCTATATAGGCAATCCATATGAAATCCTAAACTGGTCCAAGTCTCCCTTGTTAGAACTGGTCAGAGCGATGACTGTGCTCAGGTCTATTTTCTCGTCTGTTCTTGGACTTCTTTTTTGGGTATAGGCAGAGTTCCTCTAATGGAAGATTCGTGCCCAAAAATACCATCAAGTTCCATTGCCTCCTGTGCTGAATAGTGAATGCGTAATCATTCAGCTGAGGAGAAAAAAAAAAATGTAATGGCAGTATATAACCTATCAGCAAATGCTTTTCAAAGCTAGGGTTTGCAGTAGGGGGGAAATGGTACTGATAAGAGTGGCCTACTTTAATCCTGTTTCTAGAATTTGATTTTCTGTTCCCACTAATTAATTCTCAGATTAATTAAATTCTGTTAGCACTGAGGGGAAGGGGAAAAAAAAAAAGAAAATCTGTCTTGACTTTAATGGGACCTGGGGTTTGGCCCTGATTTTTTTTTTTTTTTTCTTTTTTTTTCTTTTAATGCAGATGTTTCATTTGGAAGATTGTAGTCAACTGCTAACATTTGCAGGAATATGAAACTGCTGCAAACACTGAAGCCAAAATTTTAGAAATGTGCATTGTGTTCAAAGTCAGTCTTCTCAATAGCTATGTGCACCTAAAAAGAAATAAAAGTAAGCTTCAGCTTACTGTCAATGAGAAGTCTCCTTTAAATACACCTATTTTGTACATTTGATCATAGCCTTAATGGCTGAAAATACAATTTCAGGGCAAGGTATGTTTTGGAAGCAGAGTTCTATTGGCACAAATAATTTGGGGTGATCTACATCCCTAGTTACTGGAGGAAATGTATATGGGAGGGGACTGACATTGCTGGTTGTCCAGCTGCGTGTTCAAATGGACCCATCCCACAGAGGAGCGTTGGTACACATAGGGAGTCCTTGGCACAAACTGCCCATTGCCCGTGCCATCGGTTCCTTCTCCCATTGACTTTCTAACATATATGGTCCAGGTCTTATGGCTGTCAGACCATATGAGATTTTGATATAGGAGCTCAAAGGATTGGATCAGTTGACCACTGCATTTCTGTGTAAGCAGAAGTAATATTCCTCATTGTATTATTTTTCTGAAGAAAAGGTGAATAATTAACCATGCACTTCAATTGCTAACACTTTCAAAACCAATTTTTTCTCATTTTTGTCAGGGTTTTTTTTTTTTTAGCCAGCTTAATTTTCAGCCTTCTCTTTGACTGTATTTGGCTATGAATATGTACTGAGAATTTGCTTGTTAACAACATTCAGCTTGCGTTGTTTAGATATCCAAAAAGTAGAGGTGTCAAAATTGTTAGTTACTTCAAAAATTGAGGCTTTTAATTTTAAGGCACTTCGTTTAAATTAACTGTGTTTGAAGAGTATTTTTTCTTTTCTAAATACTTTCTGCTATCACATCCAGATGAAATAGAGAAGTGGAAAACCTTTCCTATGAACAGATGCTTTTTATTAGCATGCTGTATTTTAGATAGTACTGAAGTGTGTGTATCATGCATACCTTGAGAGACTGAGGGTTTGATCAAACTAGTTTGTTTCATTCGATGTTTACATCAATTACAGAATGAAAATGTCAGTCATGTTACTGGTTAGCATCTACAGATTTTCAGATAGAGTAAAAAATAGCTATAAGTGTCTTGTGTGATTCTGTATGGAATCCAAAGCCATTCACATATGCTGTAATTAATGTTTTCAGAGCAATTAAATATGTCATTCACCTCGAGAATTTGCTGAAAACAAATAAAAAATCAGAATCTGAAAAAGCACAGCAGGGTATTTTAGTTGCTACTGAACATTTGCCAAAAGAAAATATGGTTATGGCGATGCTGAACTTATTGTTAACAATCAAATTAGAACTACCTTTGAAAATAGGCATACAGCTTTTCAGGACTCTTTTTTTTTTTTTTCTTTCTTTTTCTCTTTTGAAGGACTGTTAAGTATTTTAAAATTTTTTAGGCCTTTTCTTACAAGATTTTGTGACAAGTGCAGCAAACTTCATGTTCAGCATAGATCACTTAGTTCAGTTACATTTGTAGTGTCTCTCATATACTTCATCATACCTAGCATTGACGAGTTACATTTATCTTCCATATTACAAACCCATAAAAGATGAGAAATAGCACTTCGTGATTTTTGTTTTGTAGTATGTGATTATTATGTTTAAGATGTCACAGAATCCAAATTAAGTTGCTGAGTGAAGATATTTTTGTAAGGTAATTTTTCTTGAGATGTTAAAGCAAATTGTGCATCTCTTGCTAAAGCATCCAGTGAGTATTGCATGGATTCCTTAGCATCTGAGCAGCAAAACTGAAGCTTAGTAATTCCAGTAGAAGGAAAAACTAACAAATCAGGACTCAAATAATCTAGCAGTCTTTCTTGTCTGCTTGTATCTTAAGATACAGCTGTGCTCATCTGCATACAGAATTTGTCCTTTATTGCTAAGAAGAATGGCATGTTGAAGCGTCATGGAACAGCGAAGATGTGAAGGAAAAAAAACCCAGTCTGTTATTCTTTTAAGAGTGTTTGATAAGAAAAAAAAGAATCAAATAAGCCCAATTTAATTCCATATGCCACTGAACAGGTTAAGTCTGTATAAATATTGTTTAGAAATCCAAGCTATGTTACAATGTTGCTGCAGTTTTGTAGCCTATGTAAGATTGTACACAGCTGTAATTGCCGTGTCTATAACAGAAATCCTGCCTTCTATTTTGAAAAATAGATAGATGCATAATTTTGTATCTAATTAAGCAAACAGGATGCCTTTTTAACATCTAGATCTTTTATTACTAGGAAAATCACAAAAAAGCCCCAAGTTTGTGACAGCATCAACATATAGTTGGCCTGTTTAATCTGTATCTTAAGATTTTTTTTTTTTAATTCATATGATTAAAGATGTGTTAATGTACATTTAAAACAATTTGAGCAGAACTAACTTTTCTGAATGCTCAATACCCACACGAGCAATTTCGCTGTGGTTAGTTTTCCAGTTCTAATTAGCTGGGTTTATGTGCTTTGTATGAAACTAAGCGGAAGAATTTCCATTTGGTTTATGCTTCAGGTAACCTTAGAGAAGCAACAGCATGCTTTGCCTTGTTCTACTTACCATCAGTTTTTAATGTGCACTGTAGCTTGATATTTTGTCTGGTCATCAATATGCTTACAAGCCTGGTATTAATGGCATTATGAGTGCTAAATATACCCGATGTTTGTGAAGATAATGTGACTCTCTCGATTTTGAGAATACTTAACATTAGAAGAGCTTTAGAGGCTGCAGTCACCTTATTAAGGACGGAGTTCAGGAATGGCCTTTGGTCATTCTCAGCATGCTTCCTTGCATTTAAGAGTGAAAAGAGAGATGATAATGTTGTGCCTGGACTTGTCCATCTAGAGTTTAGGGTGCCCTGGGGTTTTTGCATCTAACTGTAAAACAAGCTATAACATGCTTATCCCTGATTTTCTTGTTTTTCTTTCAACCATTTCAGGGCCCTGCAGGAGTCATTAAATCAAAACTTCATGCTGATTGTCACCCATCGAGAAGTCCAGCGGGAGTATAACCTCAACTTCTCAGGAAGCAGTACCATTCAGGAGGTGAGTGCTGTTTCACAGCTGAAGAATAAATGTAGCTCATTATAGCTAATGCCAGCTCTGTTAAAGAGGGTTTACATGGTCTTGATGGATATTCCTTTATTTTATTAGTCTTTTTGGTTTAATCAACTGGATCATCAAGATTGCTGTAATTTGAGTAAAGAACTTGGCCTAAAAAAGGTTTTCTATGAAATTATACAGAAAAGATGTTTCTTTTGGCATTGTAGTATCAAAATACACAAACTGTTTATTGAGTTATTCTAGAGTGATGAGGAAAGGCAGTTATTCAAATTACATTTTATCTTTAAGCCCCTTGAAGCTCTTTCTGTCTTCCCTTCTTTTAACCAGCTCCATCTCCATTTTGTAGGCACCTCTACCATTACTGGTTGCTATTGTAGTACTGTTATTCTTACTGCCTTGGCAGCCAAATGGTTTTGTGTATAATGGATGTCACTGCCATTCTATGGAATGTCCAGCAAGGGGTGATATTGTAGAGAACTTCGTCAGAATTAAGTCCTGTAAGAACAAATATCTCTAATATGACTCTGGACCCTCTGAATTTAGAACAAGCAGTCCTTGCATATTTGTAACACTCCTTTCTAACGCCAAAGGCTGTTGTCTAATGCCCCATGGTATGTCTAATGCAGATGTTTTGGATGTTATTTTCCATATAACCCACTAACTTCTGGAAACATGACAATCTAGAAATATGAATCTTCAGAATTCACATTACAAAATATTAAGATTAAATGTTTGCTTTTCAAATTAAATGTATGTTTGCTATTGGTCTGACACTTCTCCCAGTCTTTTAGGGTTGAACAGATTTTATTGAAGTTTTTCATGTCACATGCTGACATTGTAGACAGAATTATTTGAAGTTCTGTAATACTAGCTATAGGAGCAATATCTCCTACAACAATGAAAAATTATCATTAACTGTTTTCACTGTGAATCCTATTATTCTTAAGATCTAAATTCTGATCTTTCCCCTGCGTGAAAGCCTGTTTTCTACCTTTTTAAACCTATTATAGTAAGTTTTGGTTTTTTTTTTAATATAATATAAACAAACAAACCTAGTTGCATCAGTTTGTTTTTTGAGGGGCCAAGCTCTGACAAGCTTTCCAATTAAAAATAATTTGAATATTTATGGAAAGAAATTATCAGAATATTTGTTTTTAGTTTTAAAATGGTGAGATTCTAAAAGAAAACACATGCATAAATATTGCCTGTTTGGTTTTTATCTATGCTATGTCAATTACTACTTTACTGGTGGGTCTTAACTGGCTTAAAGGAACCAGAAAGCTGTGACAGTGCATGGGAATCTAAGCTGCCTTTACATGCGGTGAAGTTTTCTTGTTGCTAATGACAGGTTACAGTCAACATGTTAACATATAAAGTCGACTTAATTTAAAAGTCAGTTATGATTTTCCCTATTAAACAACCAAAATCCAAAAAACCCCTACCACCCCATAACGAGTATGAGCATCAAAACTTTCTTTGCCATTCTGTCTTGTATCTAAGTATTACATCCTGTGGAGTGCATAAAATTATGAAGACAGTTTCAGAGACTAAAATGAAAAGAGAACTCTGGACCTTTTTATGCAGCCGATGCTGAACAGGTGAATATGTCTCTCTGTGCAAAGTCTCGTGGAAATCACTGGGGATTTGGATGAGGTAAAAGGGTTGGTGAACATTTGTCTAATTATAGAAAACAAGCACTGTTTTGTATGTTAACTCCCTAATGGCTATTTAATTTTTTTTTTTCCATTTAGCAGAGTGAGCATTGTAACAAGTGATTGATAAATCTAGTTAGTCTGTGTGATTTGGAGGAATCAGTGATATCTTTCCTTCTCCTCTCCCTTGTCTCTCTCCTCTCCAGGGACTGTTAGATTTCCCCCCCCGGCCTCCCCTTCACTGTCTTGTTCACACTTTAACAAATTAGTAGTTTACTTTCCTTCTGGTATAGTTTTGTAGTCGTGAAAAAGCTCTATGTGAGTTGCAGTTGCCAACCACAAGAGGGCAGGAAGGACTATTCAATTATTACCTAAAAATGCTGTTCAGTGTTTTCAAATTAGCTTCTGGTATATTAACAAAAAGGAGTATAATGGCCAAGTTATTGTTTGATTTACAGATAATTGGCATATTGCAGGGAGGAGACTTAATTTCACCCTTTTAAATTAAACAGGGAGATTTAAAAAGACATAAAATATTCATTAATGTTCAGTGATTATAAAGCAGTGGCATATATTTATTCTACCTTTATTACTGTTTCGATGGGAAAATACTGCAAATATTTCAGAAATCGACTTGGCCATACTGACAAGTTGAAATGTTTAAGCAGTGTTAATGCAATCTACTCACACGTTATATCCTATGCAGAAAGATTCAAAATTACTACATCAATTATTAAAAGAAATATTTAAAATTCTATAAATGTCCTACTGCTTGCCACAGTTGGGTGCAACTGTCTCTCCAGGGCTAGTTGTTTAGTTTGTTGTTATTATTAGTGCTGCAAATTTTAAGGAATAGCTATTTTTTCCATGTGTCTCAAAAAAACCAAAAAACCAAACCCACCACACTAAAAACCCAACCACACCACCCTTTCAAAACTGTCATATTTTGCAATGGATTAAATGCAAAATCCAGTGGGCTCTCAGTTGTGCTTTCCTAAACTACTGTTGCTTCAGTTCTCTGTTGTCTTTTTTTGTTGTTTAGAATGTATGTTTAATAGTAAATGATACTTGGATGAATTGGTATTTCAAAGAAGTCTTGCTGTTGAATGGGGAAACAGTCTGACAGGAAATTCTCTGAGAGAAGCCTGAAGCCGTAGTGCTCACGTCTGCTTCCACAATTTCTTGCATATTAATTCAATAGTTGGATTTTGAATGGTACTTGAAAATGCCTTTTTTTAACGTGCTTTATCTACATCTTCAACTGTTTATGTATTAAGATTTAATTTCTCAGTTTAAAAAAATATAAGTTACTATCAGTTATATTGATGTGGGATTATGAGCCTATAGAGAATCTTCAGAAATGAAATGAAAAATTAAACTGAACTTGTCCAAAATTCTGGATATTGGATTTCTTTTTCTTTTTTTTTTTTTTTTTTTTTTTTTTTTTTTTTTTTTTTTTTTTTTTTTTTTTTTTTTTTTGTGTGTGTGTGAGTTGAGCAGGGGAGTTAACTTGGAAAGTTAATGATAACATGTTGGCCTAAATTGCAAATTAATCTGTGTCACAGGTTTCTGACATCTGTTTGTTCTTGTAAAATTGCAGTATTAAATTAATTCTGGGCAGATACTGTTCTGGGAAATATCATGATTACTTTTTTCCATGATCCACATTTTAAAGGGGAAATTAGTAGGTTTTGTGCCAGTTTGGAGACTGTAAATTAATACATTTCCAATGTATTATAGGGCTAAATAAGGACAGTTCTAACAAATTGAACTCCTAAGACTTACAAGACTAAAAGGAGTTTTCTATCTAAATACTTGCTCTTTATTCTGCTAAGATAATCCATAGAGGCTATCTGTAACTGGAGTGAGAGAATTTTTAAATTTTGATTTGAGAAGCTATGTGGTAAATTATTACAAGGCATTGCCACATTGAACATAATTTGTTTTCTGTCCATTCTTACGAACTTGGTCTCATTTAGAAATGAACGTTTCTACTACTTTTCATTTTTGCAAGTTTTAGTTATATTATTTGACGGAGATAGACAGCCTTTTTCAAACGGGGGAATATTTACATGTTTTATGGAAAGCAAGTTCGTGTTCTCATCCTGGAGTAGACAAACTAATTTGTGAAAAACTTTTGAATTTGAGTTCTTGTCACAATAGCATGCTTCACACTTTTTGTTGTTTCAGTCAGTAACATAGGAGGAAAAAATAAAAAAATAATAAAAAAAAATTAACAAACTGGATAACTGCAAGGAGTTTGCGTTTGTCTATTTTATTCTTGGTATAGACCTTGAAGCCTTTTTGTGATTCCTGTGTGTGGGATTACTGAAGTATCCAGTGTACACAAGCTGTGGCTACTAAAGGGTGGACGAGTTAAATATGCAGAAACCTCAGGCCTCTTGTAGATTGGTGATTTTATTTTGTAACTGCTGGAGATTCCAGTTGAGAATACTAGCTAAAGCATGTACCGGGCACTATAATTCCTAGTAAAACATAAAATCTGTGCAAACAATGCAAAGAAGACGGGTCCCTAAATACTGGCTGCCTCTGCATAGCTGCATCTGCTCTTTATTCTGTTCCTTTAGACAATGACCTAATCGGAGGCTAGCTGCTTAGCATCCCTGTCACCTGTAATAGGTAATATATTTGTTCTTTGTTCCCTATAGACTTACTGGCTAAGGTGCAATATGAAAAGCAATGTATCCAATAGCACTCCAGGCAGGAGGAGGAACTATTTGTGCATACAACTGCTTGGGCTGAGATAAACTATAAATTCTGTGTTGACAGACCCTAATGACAGTTTGAAGTCCTTTGTACTGAATTTTTTGAAACTTTTTTGATAAGTGGATGGATGTGAAACAAAATACAAAACCACCGCTTGTAAACATGCAGGCAGAAAGCTTATTTAAAAGGCCTATGTATATAAATATAGGTAAGCAGATGAACTACCTTCAGCATGCAGAAAAATAATCCAGCTGAAGGTCTTGTACCTTTTTCAGATCTGATTTTTGGTATCTGTACAAAATATTTTCAAGCCAATTGTTGTTGAGTGATATCATCCACAGTGAAGGTCAGACGTGGGCATGGGAACACGAAATGTATATATAAATAACGTTCTTTTTTATATTGTAGCTAAGTAATTACAATAAAATACATTTGCCAGAGATCAGAATATGGACATATCCAAATATGGTACATACGTTAACAGTTTCAGAAACAGTTGTGTTTATATTTTGATTATTTTTTTTTGCTTCAAAATTGTTGAAAACTATTCTTATGCTAATAAAAATCAGTAACTAACAGTTTTTGGTATTTAATAGGAGGTGC